GGTCCCAAAAATGAAGGATGAACTTTGTGTTTGTACAACACATTCAGATTTCCAGTTGGAACCGATGCAAGTGAAAAATCATCACTTGAGAAACCTATAGACAGCTACCGCAGTATCAGTGCAAGGAGAAAAATCATCGGTTCATCAGTTGGAACTTCCAAATCATAAAAACCCAGGGGCAGTTCATTAGTTACTGGACCAACATACATGGAACAACCAGTACGCCGTCTGTGGGAATCGAACCCACGACCACATGGTTAAAAGCCATGCGCTCTACCGGCTGAGCTAAGACGGCGGCCCATGGATGAGTGCTAAATTATCTAATAATTAAGTCTTCTTCTCTAATTCTGATAAGGCATATATTTTGGAGTACCATTAATTCATTCTTTTGTTTTCGGTATAAACCAGAAACATTACGAGGACTTCTCTGCAAATGGCCAGCTCATACCACGGAGGGTTCATTCCGCTGTATTTGCTCTCTCTACCTTTGAATTCTCTGACTGTATTTTTCATACACCAAGCGTTGAAAGGACCTCAACAGAACGTAATGGCTACCGTCTTGCATTTGGTTTTAGCAGATGCTATATGATAGTTTTGGGGGATCATTTCCCTTTTCCAACTTGAGCAATCCCCGCCATGGCTGTAAACTACAGCACACACCATATTGTGGTTGGGGTTTACTAGTTCCCATCACTCCCCGAATTCCAGTAATTGCTCAGCAAACTCGGAGGCCACTCAAAAGTCAAAAGATCAGTTTGTGAACTCAACAAAACACGCATACTAAACAAGGCGTTCTTTCTAGCACAAAATGTTACAGATGCAACTTTGAACAACATTTTAATCCTAATATCGCAACTCAAGCGAGATGAAGAGAACTTCTGGTGCAGCTGAAGATTCATTCCAGACTATATTACAAGAATCGCATATTGCATATTGAGCACGCTCATCTGTCAGAGAAACTAGTAGTCGCTTTCCTTCCATCCACCAAATTCTTCTTCGGCATTGGCGTCCTCCTGTTTCAAGAGATGCATCAAATGACAGATCATAATATCTCCAAATGTTGCCAAGAAGCATATCTGACAGCAGTTTATTTGGCGTTGGATGAATACCTTTGGAGTAAAAGTAATCCCAACTTGAATTTCTCCACTGAATGTTTGGTCACTGGCAACAATGCTATACTTTTGACGATGTATTTCAGCTTTTCCATTCTCCACACCCAGTTCTAGAAGCTCTTTCAGGTAGATGCTGCAGGTAGACATGTTATTAGTGCAGTGCAACTGAAATTGATAAGATACTTGGGGAAATAGGATAAAGACAATAAGGACATTTCATTTCTGTGAATGGCGAATGCTCTATATACACACTTGAGGATCATGACCGGTAAGGATAGAAACCACTTCCGCGGATAGGGGATGAACATTCTTCTTTCAGTTTTCTGTGAGAACTTTCAAAGGATTCCCGACGTAGTTTCTTAACCGATGATGGTAGTGTGTTTTCGATGCTAAAATTGCTGGAGTTTAACTTGAGGTTGTTGGTCTATTAAACTGACTAGCTAAACTAGATCATTTCAGCAGGTGCTTTGCAGTAACAAAATTTGAACAACCGAATAGGAAATAATTATCACGTCTAGTAACATAGGAAACGATTGGGAAAGGAACAGAATATGCTAAATTATCTTCTTTTTTGGCAATAAATTCTAAATGCCTCACGTGGACTGGCCGAGGTAGTCATCAGACGAAAAAGTATCGTGGTCCATTATCTTGAGAATGAGCTTGTACTGGTCATCTCCTCCTGGATACTCTGCTCTGAAGGTGAATTTCTCATTCCACGCTGGGTTGCTTCCTTGCCCTGCATAGCAACACAGTCTGTCAAATCGTTGGAACAGAAGATTGATTGCATATACAGTCGAGTCGTTACAACTTACAGGGTCATATTCTTGTATTTGAATTTACATTACTATTACTGCTACTTCTTGTCTTACAGATGTTTGACTATATAATGCGACAACCAAATTGTAAACGCAGATTAGACATTGAATGAGCCATAAATAAAATGTCATTACAAAGTCAAGAAAGACAATTATGCGTCTCCTACCTAGACAGCTTCCAGGAAACTACACAGAAAGAAAAAATCCATATTAAAGAAGAAAAAATTGCAAAAAGGGAGTCCCTCTTGAACAATACACATCTTGGCAGGCAGTTGTTACTATTTTCTGACCATCAAAAGGAGAAGTCGTAGTGTCGTAATGATGAACGTGGGTAGGAGGCGGATTTGGGAATCCTGTTGATGGTAGCATTCAATTTTGACTAAGTCAGAAAAAAGAATTGCTTTAAGGTTTATATCAGTTGCATTGAATATCTCTCAAGGACCAAACTGACACAGACCGTAAAGCTTGGGAGGCATTATTGACAGTTCAACCTTACAATATATATATATATATATATATTTTTCTGAAACGTGAATACACTCGAATCCTCCTGCAAGAAGATTGGGCCAAATTTGTGCTTTTCTTTCTTTCGGGCAAGACGCTCACATCTGGACTGGGTCAGACACTGGTGCGGAGGCAAGTTTGCTTACTATTCTGTTGATACGCTTTTAAAAAGTAGTAGTAAATGTTTAATTACGTACCTCGAGCAATGCTACTTTTGCGCTCTTGGCCTCTGTACTGAATCAAAACATAGGGATCAATTCCGCCTGCACGGCACGCAAAAAAAAACCACCCTAGTTAACCACCATGCATCTCCGGAGTCCAGTCTTGATGAAGTAGAAGAAGAAAAGAGTAATACAACGTGGCGACTAGTTTGACTAAGTCTCAAATAAAATTCTCCGTCGTTGCCTCAGTCGTGGCATGTGGATCGGAATAATCGCACAAGGACGAAGTGGGCGTAACATTTCCACATCTACACCTTTTGAATTGTCTCTGTCCTTTTTCAATTGAATGAAACTAATGAAAAAAAAAATGTAACTCAGGAACAAATTGTGGTTGGCGCCGGAGGGAGGAGGCCGTCATGATTATAATGAGAGGCAAAATCTCGAGATATACTTTTGGCTTCAGCAGTAATTAAGAGGCCAATTGGTGATGAAGAAGAGAATAGAGATGGGGTTTTAGTGGTCATCTGATCATCAAACTAACATAAAGATAAAGAGGGAGATAAAACTCCGAAGACGCTCAAACCATCAACAAGAGCAGCAACATATGAAGGAGAGAGACCCAGAAGACAAAAGATGAAACCATGCACACAAAAAATCACAGGCAACACATATCCCAGGCTCAAAAAACTTGATCGGGACGGTAAAACATTATTGAGTTTCTTCATCTTTGTTGCATCGCATGTGAGATCATTAGCTGTTTAATGGCAGTAGTAACGTGAGATGAGTGTGGAGTGTGGAGTCGTGCAATTTTTGCTTACCAAAAAATTCAGTGTCTTTGAGACCTCGAGCGCCAACTAAAGTCACCTCCATTATTCCGATCGTCATTTCTCACCGTTCCTCGCAGAGAAGAGAGAGGAGACTGAAGAGAATCAATAGTCAAATTCAACGGAGGCTTCCTTCCTAATGCGTTATTTAGTGCTCGTTCAGGATTCATTGTCTCACGTTTTCATTATATATCCAAGGTTTTACGCACACCTGTGACTTGACTTCTCATTCTCAGCGGAGCGAGTGACAGCCTGTCTTCCAGTAAAACTTTCGTGGCAATGCCCCACTCAACAGGTTGGCGTTTACACGTATGATTCAAAATTTTCAAAATCGTGAGAGAACTTGCATGGCCTTCACAGAAAATCTGAAATAAGTAAACCTGTGGGGTTTCTATCCCACATCGGTTCGGGGGGGTTTGGGGTTTGGGTTTATTAAGGTCTGCGGGAGCCTTCAAAAGTTGCCGGCTTTTGAAGGTTTCTCGCAGGTCAACTTTAGTAACGAAAAAGTCTGAGTTTCTCAGTCATCGGAAAAAACAGAAACCTCGGGAGGTGATCTCTCCATTTCAGTGGGTGTCTGGGGGGTCTTTACTTCTTAGCAGCGGGGCACCCCTGTGGGGTTTCTATCCCACATCGGTTCGGGGGGTTTGGGGTTTGGGTTTATTAAGGTCTGCGGGAGCCTTCAAAAGTTGCCGGCTTTTGAAGGTTTCTCGCAGGTCAACTTTAGTAACGAAAAAGTCTGAGTTTCTCAGTCATCGGAAAAAGTGAGAGAACTTGCATGCTACCATACTCGTCTGATGATAAAATATCACTCCAAAGAAAGTAAAAAAATTTCATAGCGATCATGTCAGTTTTTTATTTGACACGATAAATTCTATATTATTCGTTCAAGCTGGAAAACAAAGAAAACCTAGTCCGACTGTAACTGCAAGGACATTTTTATTTCCCACGAAAAGAAAAATATAAGAAACCATGAAGCCATTTTTTCATAGCACACTAGAAATGCTTGGATTTAGTACCTTACTTGAATTTCACACTGAGGAATTTCACACTCAATCACAAAAGGGTGACGTAATACATAATTTCTCTTTCGTTTCATGTGACAAGAATTATTGTACTGTCTGTCATGTTGACTGTCTCTATACCATTGTACATTTGAACTTCTGTATCAGTGTATACCAACCAATGGTTGGATTTGGGGCAGGACGGTCATCAGATCGACCGTCCATGAGCAGTCCTCTCACAAAAGAAAATGAAAGAAATGCAACAAGCCACGTATAATGGAGGTAGCAATAAAGAAAACGATGCTGTTGGTTCTATCCAGTCAGAAATGTGTCAGTGAGTGACGTGGGTTGATTTGTTTGGATGGGAGTTTATTCAGATGATTTATTTAAAATAATTATTGTAATATTTTTTGTGATTCGATGTATATGAAATAAAAAAATAATTAAAAACATAAAAAATAATTAAAATTTATAAAACAAATTATTTTTTCTCAAATCATTTCAATCCAAACACACACACACACACTGTACTACTGTTTTGCCTTTACCACTTATGCCGCTAATAGCGGACAAAGCGCGAAGATAGTTAAACCACGACAATCATCAAATATTACAGATGTTTGTGTCACCTTCCATTTTGCGTCCGTGCTCCCACAGGAAAACATGTACGCACAACAAGAAAAGAGGTAGAAACTTAATGGTAGCGTAACCCATCAAACGGGTGAGAATTGACATTTTCCCCGCACGAAGCCTCACCAATGAAAATCCATACCCAGTTTGACTGCCTAAAAATTCCATCAGCGGTTGAATACACACCACAAGGGATCCATCTTAATTGGAAAAGCTCTGAAGTAGCACAGAGCCTAACTCGAATTCCACAACTTTGGGATGATATAGACTCCGCCAACCTTTATTATCTTTCTCCATTATAGTCGACTACAATGTTGGCAAAATTGCAATTGGGCGTAATAACCAAAAAAAAAATGAAGAAGAGGAAGCAAAAGACTTTGAAAACTAATCTAGCCTAACAATCAACTCTTATCTAAACTCTCTGGCTGTTGAGATGAGATAGTGCATGCCTTGCAGGCAGGAACAGGCGAAGGTGGAGGTGGTAAGAAATCTGATACGCTAATACGAAATGTTTGCTGCTTCTCATCGTTACCAGGTACATGGAGGAGAGCTTCCATAAGTAGTATCTCCCAGTCACGAGGTCGCAAAAATGAAAACCAGCTGTCATCTGTTCCACGCATTGTTACAGCATGAAAAAACAAGTTAGGTCTGTTGGAACTAATGTTAAGGAGCTACAACAAAATAATGTAAACTTCCTCCCCCATGGCCCCCCCCCCTCCCTTTTGTTCTGTTGCATTCCCCTCCCCCTACATCCTAACTCCCAAATCAGATAGAGAAAGCTGCATTCGGAATGATGTATTATGAATAAATCAGATAAAAATTGACCACGATGGTAACTGACACCAACCTCCATTACGAACAGCCTTCAACTGTAGGATTCCAGTGCCTTGTGGTCCAGAAACAGGAAACGTGCACGAAACAGAATGCCTTTTGAGCTACTGCAAGCGAGGCATTATACCAAGGACCTCTTACTATGGGCTCTCCGATGGCATCAATAATTGCTTGGCTCTTACTAGCTTTCTCCATGGCCTTGCTGCTTGGAATCAAGACAATATTCAGAAATGCTACCAGAACAGCTACAGCAAATGCATTACCAGCATATCAGAGAAAATCAAAACACAAAGATGAAAACATTCATTTTCCCCCTCAATAATATTAGAAGCTGGGAAATCAGACATGATTTCCAAGAGCAGCTTCTTTTTGCATTCAGACATACGCGATTGGAGGCATATACCTAAACCAAAAGGCTACATTAATTAAGTATAGACACTCACTAAGGAACCATAATTCTCAGACGCCTAAGCCAGGACTTAAGATTGTCCCTAAGACATAGATTTACAAGCTTTAAGGATGTTACAAAAAGAACTGCAATCCGACTATCAATGTTTCAGAATGTTGCATCCGAAGAGGAATATATCTAAATGCTGCCCATAAATCCACATTCAGCTACGTTTTATTCAAAATGGAAAAGAAAGCAATATAAGTACACTAGAGCATTTTACTTGAACAATTTTCCACCTTACTAAAATACATAAACTTTTAATTGAATAACTTTAGACTATTTTAACAATAATAAGTATCGTATGCTGGGCTAGAAGAATTCTTAGAGGTTATTCCCTCTTGCTAATGTAGATTTTGATGGTGTTCACTGCAATATACTAAACTCCAAATTCTACAGAGCAGGGTAGTTAGTTAATTAGTTTATATTCTTCTTGTTCAGAAAAACATGATACATAGCTGATTATGTTTTCTGCATCATACCAACAAATTGATTGGATTTAAATGATAAAGGAGGGCAGGAAGTCAATTTCTTCACCTGTTACTTAGCTGCTATAAAAGTCTCAACTTTCACGCAAAACTGTAAGAATAAATGGCTGATCTGCTGAAGGAAGCTTTAAAAGAAAAAAGAAGTGAAAAAAAAACCATGTATATTTACTCAAACGTCACCAAATTTGGAGCATCATGAAATTTCCAATTCCATGCGAACCCAGTATCGGACAATCAAGTTATTCAAGCAAGGGAGAAGCTTTTGGCAAAGAAGAGGATTAGTAAAGTAAAACTCAACATACCTGCTACAACCATGATAAATAGCAAGATCATCAAGAGCGCTCAAAGCAACACCTCCAGTTAAGCATATCAATGCCCCCGACACAGCCCTCCTGCCCCATCTTTTGCCGCTTGATCTTCCACTCTCTTCCTCTACCAAACTGTTCCTTCGGGAATACCCATCCACTGATATTAATTAAAAATACAAACAACATCCCATAGACCAAAAGACAAACAAATATAGAGAATCGGAAGCAATTATCTTGCTTGTAGATAGAAAGCAGAAACAAATTGACAAAAACAATGACTACTAGTAGTATGTGGGCATTTAGGCTTTACGCAGTGGCGGAGGCCTGTGATGAAGATGAGGTTGATGGGGTCCTTGTCTTCAGGAGAGAGAGGAGCCTTCGTCCCAGCATTCCCTTGTGCGAGTTGTTATGCTGCTGCTTCGGCCGCCGTGGAACATGAATAGAGCCGACAGCTGATCGCCTGCTCAAGACGAAATAGAAGATTGGGCTGCAAAGCAAATGGCATGTCGGTTTCAGTTTTGCATTTTCTGGACCTACTAGGTCCTTCATGGCTAACGAAAGAGCTCCTTAAAAACAGACCAGAGCAGAGAAGCAAATCAGGCCTACATTTGAGAAGCCTGGGCCCGTTTTTTGAAGGATAGGCCCGTTCCTAAACTTTTACTTTTTGATGTAGGAGTAATGTCTAGTTTGTCTCGGTACTCGATCATTATTGAACAAGTTTGGCGAATAGAGGGCTTAGCCTGCCAATTTGAGTTCTTTGTGTTTTATTTGGGATTTTACTTTAATGTATCATCATTTTTACGAAAAAAAATTAATACCTGAAACTCTTCTTACCGACTAGGATTCAGGTATTTTCTCAATTTAATTTAACTTTAAAACAAAAAATCAATACCCAAACCCCCTCTTAATGAATCAAATCCTTTTCTTTTCTGACCCCATTGGGTTGAGTTATCATTGTTTTAAACTTTCCGGACTTGAAGTTGTTGAGGAGCAAAAATTTGGACTCGCATGAGAGACGATTATGATTGCTTGAAAGGTTTCCAGATGGAAATTGTTGAGGAATAAATACTTGTACCAGATCAAGCAACCGGGCTGGACTTCACAGAGACTCGTAAGACTCCATATCGCACAGTTGCAAATGCATTGCATTGCAAAACTTATCGTATACCATCTGGACCAAAGGAGGTTTCTATCAAGTTTACATGTCCGGCGGTTTCTGAACTTTGGCACTTTTCGAGTCTCAAAGGAGGGGACAATTCAAGGAAAGCTAGCCTCCAAATGGCAACCCAGTGCTTAATTCAGCTACTAAAAATTACTTTTTATCAAACTCCTAGAAAATCCCATACAAGTCTTTTGTCTTTTGATCCAAGGAGAAAGGGGAAAAAAACTGTATGATCAACGATAAGATGTAACAAGTTCTTCAACATAGATCTAGTATCCACGAGCAGCTTCCAAATGTTGATTGACAGAAGGTAACACGCTGATGTACAAAATGATGAGGGAAAACATTTCAAATTCTCCTCCTTGTGGCGTTTGTCTTTATCTGCCATGCCTGGGAGAAATATCAGCTGACCTGGATCTGGATCCAGAGGGTGACCTTGATGCCTGACCAGGGGATGGTCTCCAGTGAGCCACTGCTTCCCCAGATTCAAGCTCAGTTTTCCTGCAACACATCACATGAATGCACATGCAACTGTAAATGGAAAAAGCCTTGAGAGGAAAAGGGAAGGAGGTTTTTTGGGGGGAAGGAAGGGGGGGGGGGCAAGGGAATAGCCATCCGAATATCACAGCTTGAAAACTGCTGAACATTCGCACGTCTTGAGATACAAAAAAACAACGTTGAGCAAGTCTAAATGACTTCCAAATGATTTAGGCCACAACACTACCAGGCTACCAGGAAGACCCAAAGTTGTTTCAGACGAGGAGGCTGAAAAGCAAACATTTCACTTCTCAGAATACTATCAAAGGCAGAGGTCTTTCAGAATATTGGTGATTAGCTTCATCATAATGCTGGAAATACACAAACCAACACAATAATATATCAGGACCTTCCCCAGCCCCTTGAACCTTCCTCCTGTCCTTTTGATGCAACAAAGAAAATGATGCCCGGCTCCCAAACCCCTCGATGGCACAATTAGAAAAGACTCCAACTTCTTGCTTTTAATCCGACATCAGCAACTATTACTTAGAGCATAACTTCACCACACTAGTATTTAACAGCAAGTGACCTTCGTAATGCGTGTTTCTACTTACTTGGCATAGCTGCTGCCATTTCGGTCAGCCACATCATGGTAACCAGGAGAATATGACCTGTGAATATGAACAAGGTCTCGGTCTTGCAGATGATCTCTTGGAGATCTAGGGCGATCATCATACCTTCTCGGTGGAGAAATAGAATAATCATTACGGCCCCTTGGTGCAGGAGAGTACGACCTGAAAATTATTGCAATGAGACACATTCAATTAAGAGAAGGGAGATGCTGAAACTGTTCAACCTTAACAACTCACCTTGATCTATATCGACCTCTAGAACCTGAAGCATATCGAGGGGAGCGTGAACGAGAGCGAGACCTAGAATGCCCTGTGCATAGAATGCAATAAATTTACAAAGGAAAAGATAATAGAAGATTATCATCAGAAGATAAAGTGATCATGCTTAATCCAAGTTTAGCTCAAGTTTGGTGACTATATACCAAACTTGAGTAAAATTACAAAACAAAAAATTATATATATATATATATATATATATATATGCAACCCCTTCAGAGACTAACCAGAAATCTGACTCACTGAACAGTGAGGAAGACAAATACTATCTAGAAACTCCTTTTAAGTCTCCACTCAAACAAAGCAAGCAAGACAAACTTGTATCACTTCAGGATTTGAACTTTTGAGAATTTTTTATTAATTATAATGCAGCATACTACTTTCATAAGAAATCAAATGCAGATCCAGCAGACATGCAAATAAAGTTACAGAAATCTAGATTTCAACTAAAATCGAACAAGTACACCTAAAAAACAAAAGCACTATGCATTTCTTAAATTTCTAGCCTTACTCCCGTTACAAGAATCTACAGATATATAATCAAAGGGAGAAAATCTTGTTAGTAGAGAGAAATACGTCAATGTTGATCCACAACTTACCATAGTAAGATGACCGTCGTACCCCATAGCCTACAGGTCCACTACAAAAAGGCCAACGTGCAAAATATGTCAAAAACTCAGTAACTTGTGGAGTCACCAGGAAAGAAGAAAATGGCATATTTTTACCCAGTCCTAGCTTTTCTGCGCATCTCTTCAGGCCTTTTTCTAGTCTCAGCAGCAACAACTACAGATATCTCCCTACCAGCAAAAATCTGTCCATTCATTTGATATTGAGCCTCTGCAGCTTCATAGGGATCAACGAACTGCACAAAAGCAAAGCCACGAGGTTCCCTGCCAGAAGAAGCAGAGAGCATCATCAGAAGTTTGAAACTCGCAATGCAAAAATAAGTCACTAAGAAAACAAAACTAATACTTACTAGTCAAAGTTAGCAAACAAATTTAGTGTTATTAATATCTTGCTTAATATACCTATCATTTCACTTAAAAGCAAAAACTTCATTATGTGAAAGAAGAAAGTATCCAAATGGCTCACCTTTTCTTTACATTCAAGTAAGCAAGCAACTTCAAAAGATGCAAATTACTCGAAATTTCTTGACAAGCTCGTAAACATATAACACATTTGAAATCAGCTTTCTTCCAGGATTAAACTCTTCTCATGTTGTCTTCACTTCTCAACTATCATTCTTCTTCGTCATCAAACTTCTATTGATCGGTGTAATTCATAGTTTGTCTTCATGAAGGACCACTCTTTATTTGGAACATTAACAGCCTTGGGAGGAAAATAATTATATGCTATGATAAAGAACAGGGCTTCAACAATTGTGGGGCTTGGGCTTGTTTTTAACTTCAAACAAACAGACCCCCGTACAAACCATTTAAAAGCATAACTCACCATGAAAAGAAAGAATAAGATAATGACAAGCCTTCAAATAGTTTCAAAATGCAGCCCATCACATTCTGCAAATCTATTAGCAAGTTTCGCCCACTAAAAATCTGAAAACCAGCCATTTTTCTGATTTTTGCACCCAGAATGCAGCTAGAAAGAAGCAATTGACACCAGAGAGATTCCTTATTGACATCAAGATTTCAGATACACATGGAAGCAACAGAGACATTCAAAAGAAATCAATAAGAAAAACCTTGCAGGCCATCCACCTCAAATATTTTATTTGTTAACTCTTCAATACTTATCCGTGTCATCACTCAGAAAGAAAAAGTTGTCTTAACTAGAATTACTGATAGTAATGCTTCGATAAGTAGCATAATCATGACACTAGTGTGACATTTCGTCCATTCTTCTAAATGTTATACCGACCTGTGCAGAATAGGGACACAAGTGCAAGGGAGTATAAGAAATCAAATGTAAAATCACATTGTGTTCAAGTGTATACAAATTTTATATGCATACTAAGAAGAATCTATTAAATTAGGAATATAGCTTACCCTGTGTAATAGTCCTTTGGAAGGTAGACATCCCTGACTAATCCAAATCTTTCAAAGGGAACTCGAAGTTCTTCTGGCCTGTTTGCAATTATGCAAATTTTGTTAAAAGAACAAAACAGCTTCCAGGTTCCTACAGAATAGAAGACAATGTCATGACTGTAAGGATCACTACTGAGTACCTGCAATCCAAAGGAATGTTTCGAACCAAAAGACTTCCATGATTTTGCTCTTTACGCCTACCACGCTCTCCACCATAGCCCCTTCTTAGAGGGCTTCTAGGTCGACCTCCATATCCTCTCCTTGAAGGACTGTAATATGGTGGACTATACCTCCTCATGATTAGGGCCCTAAAGCAGTTACCAATCCAACATCATCACAGAACCAGTTGAATCACTTTTAACGAAAAATATGAGGCACATATTCGAACAAACAAAGCAGGATGAAAACATAAGAGAATAATCTTTCTTGTATAGGTATACCGCAATGGGTAGGATGCAATTTGCGGAGATATTGCCAACATCCACTTCATGCAATTGCGTGTAATACCATTCATTGCAAAAAGTCTAATTGTGGTATGCAAATACAATGACAAAACCCAGTCAACGTACAAAATGGGTGGAGAACAAGCTTTATTGTCTCAAAATAAATTGAAAAAAAAAAAGCCAAAACATGCCAACTTCTTTCAGAAGTAAAACACTTGTTTGAAATTTCAGTATGACAACAAGGGAAAATGTATAGCATATAAAAAACTTTTCTTTTCAGCGACAAATATTCAGTAAAGTTTTATCATAGCATAACAGACAGTTTAAACAAGCGATGGTAAAGACAAGTTCTAAAATTTCACATCATCCCATAATACACCTATCTGTATAGCGTATACGACTCTGAAACTCATGCTAGAACAGCCAAAACTCGAAAGCTTAGTAAGAGGAACTCTTTTTTTAAAAAAAAAAAATTTATTACTTACACATTACATTATGCACATTTAGCACGTTGCAACACCAAAGGCTGAAAGGCAGTATTAAAGATGAAGAAAATTTTCATCTTTTTTAGGAAAAAAAGTAATTGAGAATCAAAATGCATCAATATCATGAATTTATGTCATATCACCTATAAAGAAGGGTCCCTTTTTTATGCTTCACAACCCAAAAACGGGAAAAAAGAGAGAGAAAGAGATATATACCGTCAACTAATATTGCTTTTGTTAGAGCTAATGATTTTTTAAAAAATTGTAAGCAGCCAAAAATCAATTTGGGGGGCCAATTTATGACCAAGAAAAAGAAAAGTAAAAACAGATGAGGAAAATTTATGATATTTATGTTTAGAAAAATTAAATTCAACATCATAAAAGGGCAGGTGGCGCAAAAAAAATTGTGATTAGTAGGAAGATCTGAGCTTTACAAGTCTTGGTCTCAGATAGAAACCCGAAACCTCTCAGTCATTATTCAATCAGGAGTTTTACAAGAGCAAAAAGAACAAGTAAAACAGAAATCCGGAATTTCAGAAACCAATTGAATGAGAATAACAATTAAATTGACCTGTTAAAACGACGATTCTTGAAAGATGATTGAACGAAAACCAGAGCAAGGAATCTGCCTGCTTCTGCTGTGATAAACCAAGCCCTAAACTTTATAGTGTGAGTGCTGACTGCTGATGGAGCATGTTATGACTTATAAGTCAGGCCGCTTCGGTCCAGTGAGCAACACTCGGGTTTAGAAGTCTAATAATGTTTGAACCGGATATTGAAGGCAGCCGTGGTTTTAAGAAACTCTAACTCTCCTCCAAATGTCCCGTCCCAATAAGAAACTCAGATTCCCCTCTAAATTGATCTTAATTAGACCTCTAAACTTCAATCTCAATTCTGGGGTTTCTCTCGGAGCTCATTACTGCACTGCAGATTGCGGACTAAAACCAAAAAGAAGAGGGAGGTGGGAGCCAGAAGTAGCAACATTTCGCTGCTGCCAATCACTGAGAGGTCGCTTGGTAATGTTTATGTTTCCTTTTTTATGTTTATGTTCATAAAATTCTACAAACAAAAACAGTAAACAGTTTTTGTTAAAAGTGATTGTGTTTTAGTACTAGGTGTGACAAAGGTTTCTCTAATAGAAAATTAGATTGATGTTCACTGTAACAATTGTGAGAAATTTAGCTTTGAAATACTTTAGCTAGTAAATTTGCTGGGCATCAAATTTTTTGGTCTAGTTTTACAATGAACTTGTATTTCAGTTATTTCTCCTGTCAGGTGTTAAACTTTTAAACACTCATTTGCTTCTCATACAAAGCTCCAAGGCTCATCAAATGACTAGTATGTAAATGAATATCTAAGTTTGAAGGTAATCACTTTAAGCATTCCTAAAACCCATGTGGAAGAATGTTCTTGCTGATTAAGTTTTTACAGCAACTTGAGATCCTGAAATTGCACTCTCTTCAACTCCCAGGCAACATCCTTTTTTCACATTTTTTGCCCTCTTTTCTAGCTGTCTTTGTTATCTGACCAGGATAAGATACCAAACCAAATCCAATGGCCATGTCAACTTTCTTTCTTTTTTGTTAGTAAAGGCCAGTCATCATAGCAAGCAAACAATATACAAGTTCAACGCAGTTGATGAACTCTTCTGTAAATTAAATTATTTCCTCATACAAACATAGAATGGAAAGCAAAAACGAAGTAAACTTATTAGTTAAATATCAAGAAACTGGATGTAATGCTTAATTAACAGCAGTCTGCCAAAATTCAACCGTTCAAAAAAGTTTAACTGCATAAAATGGAAATTAAAGCATAATGATCTTACTCGAAATGAGTAAGTTTTTTATTTAACTGCCTATTGTAAAATCCCTGTCCCCTCCCATCTAGTACCATTACAGTGATAGTGTTGCTGCACTTCTCCTACTTTATTAAATTTACATAAAACAGTCTATAGAAAACTTATTTGATCATTTAAGCATAAAGCCATTAGGACTTAGTAGTGCATTAACTATTACAAAAACATAATTTCAACTAAAACAAAGTCAGCTCCATCTTTGTCAGATTATTTTTTAATTGGAAAAAAATGCAAAAGTCTAAGACTTGTAAACATTTTAAGTAATCAATGAGACTTTTCAGGTAGCCACAATGCTATCTAAATTTTCAAAAGAAAGAAAACCTGTAAAGTATTTTATCATCAATGGTCTGAACCACCAATTTTAACATCTATGACAGTTCATCATTAACAATATATTAATAGTTTCAATCTTTCAAATTTCTAACTATTCCATGGGAGAAATGGGAAAACAACTTATTCACAAGTTTCAGGCTAAAAATCTAACACTAATGAAAAGCATACTTGGCAAGATTACTACATGGAAATTTAGCTAGAATTGTAACAATCTCAAAATCTTGAGTATCACCTACCTCAGCTATTGAAAAACTTGTATAGTGGTTTCTTTGCTACACGTGTTGTAACATGGGACAATAATCAAGCACTACCCTTCAGCAAGCCCTACCGCCATTGCTGAAATCTGAGTTACAGCAGGTCCCTGCATGACAAACATACAAAGAGTTTAAAACAAACCTCCTGTGAACAAGATACACAAGATTTCATAGTTCTTAAATAATTTTGAGTAAGTTCTTTGTCTTTCTTTTGTATAGTGGTTTATTTGCTACACGTGTTGTAACATGGCATAACAATCAAGCACTACCCTTCAGCAAGCCCTACCACTGTTGCTAAAATCTGGGTTAAAGTAGGCCCCTGCATGATAAACATACAAAGAGTTCAAAACAAACCTCTTGCGAACAAGATAAACAAGATTTTCATAGTTCTTAAATAATTTTGAGTAAGTTCTTTGTCTATCTTTTGTGTTAGGTCCCTGCATGATAAACATACAAAGAGTTCAAAACAAACCTCTTGCAAACAAGATAAACAAGATTTCATAGTTCTTAAATAATTTTGAGTAAGTTCTTTGTCTTTCTTTTGTGTTGAGTCTGTTGACACAGGACCAATTTGTTTCACCTGCAAATCAGACCCAGCCACTTCCTGTGCACCACTTCACATCATACAGGCAGTTTCGTATGTGCTAAACCACATAAGCACGTACAAATAACAACAAACTGTCATGAATTTATGAACCCCGAAGTTTGCCTCCAATCTTTGAAGCATGTCATGAGTTATATCAAGCACACCTTTTGTCTGAACCAACGACTTTCTTAGATAAAAGAACAGCTTAAAGCATTAACCTAAAATCAAATATTAACAACAAATATGTTTAAAAGCTCCTCTCCATGTATTTCTACAGTTTTATTGAGTTGTGAACCTTTCGTCATGTATACGATAAACTAACTTCCAAAGTAACCCCACCTTCAATTTCATTAATTTTTCCTTCTCTCAAAGTGGTTCCCCTGCTCACGAGATCAACTATAGCCTCTGCTACCCCATGCAAGTTGGAAAGAAAAGCAAGCAAAAGCAACATGATGAAACAACAGGAGCTGAAATGTAAAGAGCCGTTATAGTATCATAATCTTCTAATCAAGATACAAAATCACATTGTTTGGAGCTAAAAAATTGCAACCATGAAGCAGAGGAGTAAAGATTTTATCAGGCATAACAAATAAAAATTTCTTCAAATCGTGAAAACTAGAAGAATAGATTGGATAAGAATCCAAAGTAGAGCACATATCCTAACTAAATCTACCAAGAATTAGAATAACTTTGGAAAAGTGAAAATTTACGACACAAAGAACCGAACTTTACCTGGCAACAACTTCTTTGACGATATAAGGACTTCAAATGCTCCCTACAATAGATTGCAAAAACAACTTTGATCAAAGAAAATATAAGCAATGACAATTAATCATTTACAAGAAAGTGAAAATAGAAACAAGTAAAAGAAAAGCACCAAAAGAAAGAACACATGTCTACAATAAGTAACGGGAAAAAAACTCTCCAGAGCACAATAATAAGTGTTGATACTAACAAAATTAAATATTCGGCTATTCATGTTGACAACACAAATACAAAGATTAAAAAAAAAAAGGGAAAAAGAAGCCTTACCTGAAGAAATTACAGAGAACCAAAGTGGAAGAAAAAATCTGGAGAGAATCAGCGGCAAACACATAGTAAGAAAATCAGATAAGTTAACTAAAAGCATACTAAAAGCATCAGAGTTAATGATCAAAACTTTTACACATTAAAGATGAACAAAAAAAAAAAAGGAAAAAAATGAGAAGAAGAGAGGTTAAGGAAGATGTTTTGGTTTGAGAGGATTTCAATGAGAGAGAAAGTACCAAGAATAATTGCAATGACTTTGATATTTTCGATTCTTTGAAGCGACGATGAACGGAAAGTGAAATTCGACAAGAGCGCCGGAAACCTGTGGAGTGTGGACTCTACTACTAGTACTGAGGGGGGCGCTCGGAGACGTCAAGGAAGTGGAAAGAGGCGCGTGAAAACTGAACAGTCACTAGTGCTGAAAACCTAATCCCATAATGCAAGGATTTGAAGGGCAGTGTTGTAAAAACGTCAAAGAAGTGGAAAGATGCGCGTGAACATTGAGTTAAATGAGGTTCGCACTTGGATTCTTCCAGACGGCTCTGGCTTTCTTTATCTATCCTTCCTTCTCTCTTCATTTCCTATGTAACCACTCACCATCTCTGGCCTCACCCTTGAATGATTTGTTCTTGTGTACGATACTATTCTCTTCCTTTTTTGGCCTCACCCCTGAACGTTGCTTTATCAACTCAGCATTTGTTTATCAATTCAAGTAGTAGTAGTGAGCTGAAGAATCATATTGTTGACTGATGTACTCTCAATTTATTATCAGTTGCCTATATTTTGCACAGAATAACATCGAAATTGTTGACGAAGTAGTGCCAAACGGAATCAGTTCAACAGGATTGAGGAATCAGTACAGCTTATTATGATATCAAAGAAAAGAGATAACTTGTTGACTCTCTTTCAGGGATTGCATTTCGAGGGGCTTGTCTGTGAAATATTTAACTGCTGATGACCTGTATGTACATCATGCAGAATGCAGAAGTCTGATGATTGATGCCTCTACTCTTCAAGTACTCTCCTATTTGAAGGCCCGCTGTACAGTACGAATGGAAGTTTATTTGCTAGAAAAGGCATATGGCTGATGTTCCATGGCAATTAGTTTGACTCGGGGGAATTTTCTTAGGCGACTAGCCTTTGGCGGACTGCGGAAGTTACCTTCTGCCTTTAAGCAGGGTGGAGAGACTGTCTCGTGTAATTCAATTTTTGCCACAGAAGGTTGGTATATATAATAGTCTCCATAGGGTGTCAAATGTCTCTTCATTTTTCCTTTTACATATGGCTGAGAATTTTAGAAAGAGCTCAAAAGTGATCTCTCTCTTATTAGCAATATCGAAACTGTAGTCGTAGCTTAAATGAACTTCAGCAAGTTCACAAAATCGTTCGTAGACTGCCATTTCCTGAAGAAAAAATATACACCATGTTGTACTTTAAGACCTCCATCCCCATTTGCAATTCCTCTCAGCTCTCGAGTATTGTCGCCTGCATTTGATAAAATCTGCAGTTTTTCATAATTTTCTTCAATTTCACTGAATAATCCTCTTGTTAAGATGAAAATCTTTTCTGCTCCTGTGGGATGTTATCCATTGATTGCCACGAGAGCTGAGTGTGATGCTAACCTAGTAGGACTTTACCCCCATGAAGCAGCTGTTCCACCTAACTTGCAGAAGGTAGCAACAGGTGAATCCTGGATCAACAACTAACTGCAATCTCTGAGTTTGATTGCTGGTCCTCGGCACCAGTAAGCAGAGGGCTCTTTTGGAACTGATTTCTCAGCTGTCCACATGCAGCACTAGCATCAAGACCTCGAGTCTGCCGGACACTGACGGTTATTTTACGGGACTCCAGAGCGGCTGCAAATGCAAGAGTCTGCATAACCAAATTTATTATACCTATCAGTTGACCCCGCTCTTGCTAGAAAAAAATAGTTTAGAACTAAATTGGGAAAGCTAAAGGGTCCAAAATGAACATCCAAAGAAGAAGGGAGATAAAACGCGTACTGATTTTTTATATGGACGCTGGTAATCAGATCCTTCAACTGGATTAAACGGTATCAGGTTGACATGGTAACTACGACCCCATTCATGAAGCAGTTCTGCTAACTCTAACGCATGCTCAATGGTGTCATTGACTCCAGCTTCACAAGAACAAATAAAAGCCAAAACTATTGTTACTTCCTCTCTGCATGCCTATCAAACAATTGAAGTCATGAAAACCTTTTACTCGCAGAAGTCTGGAATACCTAAAAGTGTGTATTCGAAAGACACCCGTCGACTGGTTTCAAGGAAATAGTCCCTGCAATCCTTCATGATTGCTTCCAAAGGATAGGACTTTGCACTTGGTACTATACTTTCGCGGAGTTTCTGGTTTGGAGCATGTAAGCTGGACAAAATGTGAAGGAAATGACACATCACGAATCAGAGTTGAAGTAAGCTTAGCTAAGGAAAAGATGTTCTAGGCTTTCACAGCTTAACAACTAGTTTTTAAGGATGGTCAGCAATGATATCTGGAAAAATCATCGGCAAATTATGATATTAACTGAGTTTTATGGTAACTACGAGAACCTCCACTAAGTTCTTAAATCACACTAACCACCCTGATAATTCCCGACATTCATCAGACAAAGATTGAAGAGAAGAAGTTAGTGAAATATTAGACCCGTGCCCGCGATAATGATGGAACCAGGGGAGATTAAGGTAAATTAGCAAAAGTTCAGACCATTTGAGTTCGTGCCTAAGCTTGGCAATCACCAGAATTATTAACTCCACCAGGAATAATGCCCATAATTCCTGTACCTATGAATTCAAACAAACTGGTGCAATCTGATGTTGTCAGGTTTCTACTGTAGCTCAAGGAAGCAAAATATACTTCCTTATACCTAAGCATGATGACCAGTGAATTGAACAGCAGCATAAAGAGCAACATCTTCTAACTTCGTTGGACTTATCTAGAAGTTATGTCAAACTGCTTTTAAGAGAAGCAGAAAGAAAGGGCTTCCACCCTTTTTTTTCCCCTTTCCTTGTAACAGAATAGAACAGCCATCAGGGACGTGTTGAACAGTGATATAACAGTTCAATGCCTGAAGGTCTATTGTGCAAACACACAAGGAAACATTTCTATCCCTTTTCAGTCCAGAAAGCAGAATATGCAATGACATTACCTAATAGCCAACGTCGATTGAAGCTTGTGAGAAGCCAGCTTTTTTATTGTATTTGGAACTCCAACAGTTGATATTGTGATCATCCTCTGCCCAATTTGGATATCCTGAACAAAGGATGGCATGTGAACAATCTTTACATCCACATAAAAAAAAACTAGCTACACAGTTTAATACACCACCTATGTTAGATTTTGGAGCAATTTGAATTTTCAGAGTGGAGAGGCATAGAGGACCTTATTCAGGCAACGGTGTGCTTCAAGAACTTCTTTAAGGTTCAACATCGGCTCACCCATTCCCATAAACACGACATTTGTAACCCTGTGCTTGAAAACATCTTCTATTGCCAACACCTGCACATTTATGATCATGGGACTACTTAAATGCAGCACGTACAGAGTGCTTCCAGAGACCATAACAGGATCCACAACTAAATAAAATGACAAAAGTTTAGCATCAGTAGTTCAGAAGTGTATAAACTTATGTTCACAAACAAACAGCAGGCATGTAAACAAAGGAAACTCACTGGACTTTTTGGGGAAAGAAGGGTACAACGAGAATCCTAAGGACGATTAACTAAGGGAATAAGGGACGCAGCAGTGGATAAATAGCCTAGGTTGATTTAATAAGAAAAAGATGCCATGAGTCCTGAGGATGGAGGTAACGAGGCAGGGAAATTTTTCTCACAGCACCTCCAAGTGAAAGAGAGCCCATCTGTCACCTGATGTAAATTTCAAAAATAGCATCAAACAGATGTAAGACATACCTGCTCTACAATTTCATGCCTCTTAAGGTTTCTTGCAAATCCCCCCTTGCCAGTGGCACAAAAGGAACAGCGCAATGGACAGCCTACCTAATTGACACAGGGAGAAGATTAACAATGGAATCAACAGGGACTATGTACTCAATGTTAAAATAGATATCCCAAAAATGGATATATAAACCACCACATTTAAACGTTTTTGCAGTAGAAAATAACCTGGGATGAGACACATGCAGTCAACCTGACTGAACCTTTATCATCTTCCACTGGTATCCCAACAGTTTCAACCAATCGGTTGTCCTCCAATTTTATCAGTAACTGGGAAGATGAAATAATAAAAAGTCACAAGATATAATGAGACAGTAGACATATAAAGTCACAAGATATCACAAGACATAATCAAAAAGTAGGCATATAAAGACAGCCAAATCTATCACTTTGGAAAGAATTGAGATGGACTAAATCTGGATATGCGCATGTTCTTGCTTCATGTTTATACATATAATGAGCAACAGAGAGTCATGGCGAAGGCAACTTATGCATGACATTATTATGCACTCCTGTAGTCTTAGGACATGACATTTTTATGCATGAGACAACCATGATGTTTATCACCAAACTTAGCACTATGAATACTGGAAACCCAAGTTCTATGCAAAGCAAGTTCCTGAATCATGTAATCTTAGTGCCAATTCTAGCGAGTCTAAAAACAATTAAAAATATTCCTTGATTGCTTCTTTTGCCAACGGGATTCACAAATGCCGAGAGCCTGAGACCCAGAGATCTCTAGGTCATCTGAGAGAAGGCACAAGCTCTGAGACATAATTAAACTTTTGATGGCAATTTCAGTGAACCTTACTCGTTTTCTCCATATTGATACTACCCTACAGCGATCCCAATTACAAACTGTGATTCAAATTTCACCCGACGCAAACTTACAAACCAAAATAGAATCTAGACAATAAGTGCTCCCACATCCCAAAAAAGCTTCCTGCCAAATTTCCTTGAGAAAAGAAATAACTTGCCTCACTTTACGGCTCCAGACTTTCTATTGTAAAAGGAAATCATTCAAATCATTCTTCAATTTTAATTCGCCAACTCTCCAAAGCTTCAGGTTTCAGGTGAATTAACTAGTTCTTGTAGAAGTCTAGTGTCCTCAATGAATACATGTTTGTTACCAAATAAGAAATAATCTTCTCTTTGGTTTCCTCCTCTTTATCTAACACAATCCTCCATGGATGCTCAATGCTGACATACATATACATATATACATATATCTATATATATACGTATATGTATATGTATATGTCCATTCAAACTAGAATCTTGTTTAGATATATATTATTAGCTCAACCACTATATATATATATATATATATATATATAAGCAACCCCTTCAGAGACTAACCAGAAATCTGACTCATTGAACAGTGAGGAAGACAAATACTATCTAGACACTCCTTTTAAGTCTCCACTCAAACAAAGCAAGCAAGACAAACTTGTATCACTTCAGGATTTGAACTTTTGAGAATTTTTTTATTAATTATAATGCAGCATACTACTTTCATAAGAAATCAAATGCAGATCCAGCAGACATGCAAATAAAGTTACAGAAATCTAGATTTCAACTCAAAATCGAACAAGTACACCTAAAAAACAAAAGCACTATGCATTTCTTAAATTTCTAGCCTTACTCCCGTTACAAGAATCTACAGATATATAATCAAAGGGAGAAAATCTTGTTAGTAGAAGAGAAATACGTCAATGTTGATCCAATCTTGATCCACAACTTACCATAGTAAGATGACCGTCGTCCCCCATAGCCTACAGGTCCACTACAAAAAGGCCAACGTGCAAAATATGTCAAAAACTCTGTAACTTGTGGAGTCACCAGGAAAGAAGAAAATGGCATATTTTTACCCAGTCCTAGCTTTTCTGCGCATCTCTTCAGGCCTTTTTCTAGTCTCAGCAGCAACAACTACAGATATCTCCCTACCAGCAAAAATCTGTCCATTCATTTGATATTGAGCCTCTGCAGCTTCATAGGGATCAACGAACTGCACAAAAGCAAAGCCACGAGGTTCCCTGCCAGAAGAAGCAGAGAGCATCATCAGAAGTTTGAAACTGGCAATGCAAAAATAAGTCACTAAGAAAACAAAACTAATACTTACTAGTCAAAGTTAGCAAACAAATTTAGTGTTATTAATATCTTGCTTAATATACCTATCATTTCACTTAAAAGCAAAAACTTCATTATGTGAAAGAAGAAAGTATCCAAATGGCTCACCTTTTCTTTACATTCAAGTAAGCAAGCAACTTCAAAAGATGCAAATTACTCGAAATTTCTTGACATGCTCGTAAACATATAACACATTTGAAATCAGCTTTCTTCCAGGATTAAACTCTTCTCATGTTGTCTTCACTTCTCAACTATCATTCTTCTTCGTCATCAAACTTCTATTGATCGGTGTAATTCATAGATTGTCTTCATGAAGGACCACTCTTTATTTGGAACATTAACAGCCTTGGGAGGAAAATAATTATATGCTATGATAAAGAACAGGGCTTCAACAATTGTGGGGCTTGGGCTTGTTTTTAACTTCAAACAAACAGGCCCCCGTACAAACCATTTAAAAGCATAACTCCCCTTGAAAAGAAAGAATAAGATAATGACAAGCCTTCAAATAGTTTCAAAATGCAGCCCATCACATTCTGCAAATCTATTAGCAAGTTTCGCCCACTAAAAATCTGAAAACCAGCCATTTTTCTGATTTTTGCACCCAGAATGCAGCTAGAAAGAAGCAATTGACACCAGAGAGATTCCTTATTGACATCAAGATTTCAGATACACATGGAAGCAACAGAGACATTCAAAAGAAATCAATAAGAAAAACCTTGCAGGCCATCCACCTCACATATTTTATTTGTTAACTTCTTCAATACTTATCCATGTCATCACTCAGAAAGAAAAAGTTGTCTTAACTAGAATTACTGATAGTAATGCTTCGATAAGTAGCATAATCATGACACTAGTGTGACATTTCTTCCATTCTTCTAAATGTTATACCGAGCTGTGCAGAATAGGGACACAAGTGCAAGGGAGTATAATAAATCAAATGTAAAATCACATTGTGTTCAAGTGTATACAAATCTTTATATGCATACTAAGAAGAATGTATTAAATTAGGAATATAGCTTACCCTGTATAATAGTCCTTTGGAAGGTAGACATCCCTGACTAATCCAAATCTTTCAAAGGGAACTCGAAGTTCTTCTGGCCTGTTTGCAATTATGCAAATTTTGTTAAAAGAACAAAACAGCTTCCAGGTTCCTACAGAATAGAAGACAATGTCATGACTGTAAGGATCACTACTAAGTACCTGCAATCCAAAGGAATGTTTCGAACCAAAAGACTTCCATGATTTTGCTCTTTACGCCTACCACGCTCTCCACCATAGCCCCTTCTTAGAGGGCTTCTAGGTCGACCTCCATATCCTCTCCTTGGAGGACTGTAATATGGTGGACTATACCTCCTCATGATTAGGGCCCTAAAGCAGTTACCAATCCAACGTCATCACGGAACCAGTTGAATCATTTTTAACGAAAAATATGAGGCACATATTCCAACAAACAAAGCAGGATGAAAACATAAGAGAATAATCTTTCTTGTATAGGTATACCACAATGGGTAGGATGCAATTTGCTGAGATATTGCCAGCATCCACTTTATGCCATTGCGTGTAATACCATTCATTGCAAAAAGTCTAATTGTGGCATGCAAATACAATGACAAAACCCAGTCAACGTACAAAATGGGTGGAGAATAAGCTTTATTGTGTCAAAATAAATTGAAAAAAAAGCCAAAACATGCCAACTTCTTTCAGAAGTAAAACACTTGTTTGAAATTTCAGTATGACAACAAGGGAAAATGTATAGCATATAAAAAACTTTTCTTTTCAGCGACAAATATTCAGTAAAGTTTTATCATAGCATAACAGACAGTTTAAACAAGCGATGGTAAAGACAAGTTCTAAAATTTCACATCATCCCATAATACACCTATCTGTATAGCGTATACGGCTCTGAAACTCATGCTAGAACAGCCAAAACTCGAAAGCTTAGTAAGAGGAACTCTTTTTTTTTTTTAAAAAAATAAATTTATTACTTACACATTACATTATGCACATTTAGCACATTGCAACACCAAAGGCTGAAAGGCAGTATTAAAGATGAAGAAAATTTTCATCTTTTTTAGGAAAAAAAGTAATTGAGAATCAAAATGCATCAATATTATGAATTTTATGTCATTTCACCTATAAAGAAGGGTCCCTTTTTTATGCTTCACAACCCAAAAAAGGGAAAAAAAAAGGGAGAAAGAGATATATACTGTCAACTAATATTGCTTTTCTTAGAGCTAATGATTTTTTAAGAAATTGTAAACCAGCCAAAAATCAATTTGGGGGGCCAATTTATGACCAAGAAAAAGAAAAGGTAAAAACAGATGAGGAAAATTTATGATATTTATGTTTAGAAAAATTAAAGTCAACATCATAAAAGGGCAGGTGGCGCAAAAAAACTTGTGATTAGTAGGAAGATCTGAGCTTTACAAGTCTTGGTCTCAGATAGAAACCCAAAACCTCTCAGTCATTATTCAACCAGGAGTTTTACAAGAGCAAAAAGAATAAGTAAAACAGAAATCCGGAATTTCAGAAACCAATTGAATGAGAATAACAATTAAATTGACCTGTTAAAACGACGATTCTTGAAAGATGATTGAACGAAAACCAGAGCAAGGAATCTGCCTGCTTCTGCTGTGATAAACCAAGCCCTAAACTTTATAGTGTGAGTGCTGACTGCTGATGGAGCATGTTATGACTTATAAGTCAGGCCGCTTCGGTCCAGTGAGCAACACTCGGGTTTAGAAGTCTAATAATGTTTGAACCGGATATTGAAGGCAGCCGTGGTTTTAAGAAACTCTCCAAATGTCCCGTCCCTAAGAAACTCAGATTCCCCTCTAAATGTAATTAGACCTCTAAACTTCAATCTCAATTCTGGGGTTTCTCTCGGAGCTCATTACTGCACTGCAGATTGCGGACTAAAACCAAAAAGAAGAGGGAGGTGGGAGCCAGAAGTAGCAACATTTCGCTGCTGCCAATCACTGAGAGGTCGCTTGGTAATGTTTATGTTTCCTTTTTTATGTTTATGTTCATAAAATTCTACAAACAAAAACAGTAAACAGTTTTTGTTAAAAGTGATTGTGTTTTAGTACTAGGTGTGACAAAGGTTTCTCTAATAGAAAATTAGATTGATGTTCACTGTAACAATTGTGAGAAATTTAGCTTTGAAATACTTTAGCTAGTAAATTTGCTGGGCATCAAATTTTTTGGTCTAGTTTTACAATGAACTTGTATTTCAGTTATTTCTCCTGTC